CACACACACACACACACACACACACACACACACACGCGCACACACGCCCTGCATGCACGCACACACGTGCCATGCACGCACGCGCACACACACACACACACGCATCCCCGCGCCGCTGGCCCCTCCCACACACACACGCATCCCCGCGCCGCTGGCCCCTCCCACACACACATGCCCCCCTCCCCTTGCCGCCGCGCAGGCGCCCGCGGCGAGGACCTGGTGGAGTGCCTGTTTGCGCTGGCCGCCGCTGACCGCTCCCGCCTGCTGCTGCTGGGCATTGCAAACTCGATAGACCTGGTGCAGCAGCTGATGAGGCCGGGGGGCGCGCTGCACGTGCGTGGGAAGGCAGCGGCGGCCGGCTCGTGCCGCTAGTACCGCCTGCCTGGCCGCGCCTCGCTCCTGCACTGGCCTGCCCAGCCCTGCCCTGATGCTGCCCCCACACTGGCCTGCTGCTCCTGCTTTCCAGCCTTGCCCTGCTCCTGCCTCCCAACGCTGCCCCCCGCAGCGCCGCAACCTGCGCCCCGCCCACGAGCTCTTCCCGGCCTACCTGCGCCACCAATTCTCCCAGGCGCGCCCTCTGCCGCCGCCGCCGCTGCAGCAGCAGGCCCGGCGCCCAGCCGCTGCAGCCGGCGCCGGCGCCGACGCTCGTGCCGACGCTGCAGCTGCGCTTGGCAAGGGACCGCCTCGCCCCAGGCGCCCCTGCGGCTCCCGCCCCTGCCTCCCTGCCCCACCCCAGCTTGCCCCTGCGGCTCCTGCCCCTGCCTCCCTGCCCCACCCCGGCTTGCCCATGCGCCGCCGCCGACCTGCCTCCTGCCTCCCGCCCCGCGCCTGCAGGTGCTGTACCAACGGCTGGGCTGCCTGCCGGGCCGCGTGTTTGAGCCGAATGCCATCGAGCTGTGCTCACGCAAGGTTCGTGCGCGGGAGCGGCAGGCTTGGGAGGAGCAGGGAACCGCCGCCTGGGAACCGCCGCCCGGGCTGCCTCTGCCTGCCCACACATACCTGCTGTTCCCGGCTGCCTGCCTGCTGGTCTGCCTTCGCTGCCTGTCACCCCACGCGCCTGCCCCCCGCCCGCTGGCCCCGGCTGCTTGCGCAGATGGCCAACGGCAACGGCGACATGCGGCGCGCGCTGGAGGCCTGCTCCCAGGCCCTGGACGCACATGTCAGGGAGGCGCAGCAGGCGCAGCAGGCGGAGGCAGAGGCGGCCGAGGCAGCAGCGGGGCCCAGCGCCGCCGTCGCGGCGCCTTCCGCAGCGGCGTCAGCGGTGGCGCCAGCGGCGGAGGCAGCCGCGGCGCCAGCGGCGGAGGCAGCCGCGGCGGCCAGCCAGCGGTTTGTGGGCATGCGGCCGATGGCGGCGGCGCTCTCCCGCATCACAGGTCCCGCCTGCCTGCCCGGCCCTGCCTGCCTGCCCTTGCCTGCCCCCCTGCCCGCACCTTTAGGCATCCCCAGGCCCCAGGCCTCGGGCCTGCCAGCAGTACAGCCAGCCGGCAGCACTGCGCCGCCCTGCCTGCTGCTACCCCCTGCACTGTCACGGCCACCGCTGGCGCCCCAACATAGGCATGCCAACGCCGCGCCGCCACGCGCCGCCCTGCAGGCGGCATCGGCCGTGGCAACGACAACGTGCGCGCGATCCGGGCGCTGCCGCCGCAGCAGAAGCTGCTGGTGTGCGCCGTGGGCAAGCTGCTGGGTGCGTGGGGGTTGGGAGGTGTGGGTGGTGGTGTGGGTGGTGATGTGGGATGGGGGTGGTGCTGGGGTAGCTGGCTGGCCGGCGAGGCGCCTGCATGCCCGCCCTTTTGGGCTGGCGTGGTCACCTGTGCCTCCTCACCTCCCCACCCGCCACCACCCCCCTACGCCCCGCCCGCCTGCAGGCGACAGCCTGGGCAGCCGCGGCCTGCCCGTGCGCCGCCCCGCGCCCATGCCGACCCCTGGCAGCAGCCGCAAAGCCGGGGGCGGCGCCGCGGCCGCCAGCCGCGCCCGCGCCGCCTTCATGTCGCCAGCCAAGAGCAGCGCCTCCAGCCGGCAGAGGTGGGGGGCTTAGGGAGGAGGGAGGGAACCCTAAACCCTCCAGCCGGCAGAAGGGGCTGTGGCGTCTGGCAGCCGTAGGGGCGAGCGGTCCTGGGGGACGAGGGAGGAGGACGGTTGTTGTGCCCTGCATTGGAGCCCTGCATTGGACCCCTGCAGTCATTGGCGCCCTGCGTTGGATCCCAGCCTGCTGCTGTTTCCTGGCTTTTGACGACCCTGTCCGGGCATCGTACACTCGCAGCGCCCGCCCCGAATGCCGTGCTCTGCTCCCCGCCCTCCCCCTGCCCCGCAGCATGGGCAGCCTGGTGAGCGGCGGCGCCAGCGCAGCCTCTGGCATGCCGCGCAGCCGCGAGGTGCTGCTGGGGCAGCTGGAGGAGGCGTTCACGCACCTGTGCAAGCAGGCGAGCAGGAGCAGGAGCGCTGACAAGCGCGCACATACCGCCTCGCTTTCCTCCCCACACATAGCCGTGCAGCCCCAGCAGCCCCCCCTCGCTGTCCTCCCCGCCTCGCTTTCCTCCCCGCCTCACTTTCCTTTCGTCCCCACCTCACTTTCCTCCCCGCAGGTGGGGATGGAGCCGTACAGCACCGGCGAGTTCTGTACCGCTTGTGAGACGCTGCAGGACCTGGGCCTGGTGGGCCTGGCGGCGGCGCGGGAGGGCAAGTGGCGGCGCGTCACGCTGCGGGTGCGGCGGTGGTGGCGGCAGGGCTGCGCAGGGGTGGCGTGGCGTGGCTGCGGCGGCTGCGGCGGCGGCGGCGGCGGCGGCGGCGGTGTGGGCGAGCGAGGGAGGGCTGGGCTGGGAGTGAGGGAGGCAGCCTGGGCAGCGGTGGTCCAGCGGGCGCAGCCTCGCCACACACGCACACACACACACACACGCACAAAGCACAAAGCATGGCCCCACCATCAGCAAGTAAAGCACTTTCCCGCCAGCTCTGAGCAAGCGTGGTGTAGAAACTGCCGGCTGCCTGCCTGGTGCGTGCAGGTGCCGGAGGACGATGTGGTGTTGGCGCTGGCGGATGTACCGGTGCTGAAGAACGTGGTGGGCGCCTAGCCGGGGGCCTCTGCAGATGAGGCCCCTCTATCTTTCCAGCCCGCTGGATGCCGGATGCTCTGCTCAGGCAGAGCAGGGCTTGCCGCCACCAAGCGGCAGCAGGCGTCGCCGCCAGGCAGCCACCAGCGCCGGGGTGGGCCGCCGCATCACTGGCTGGCAGCGCGCCGGAGCGGTGGGCAGGTAGCCACGGCACCCAGGCAGGTGCAGCCACAGCGTTCATCCTTTCATGCATTCAACCAGATTGTTATTGTGCTGCTTGTTGGCCTTCCCAGAACGGGATGCTCTCTGGCAGCAATGGATGCGTTTCTCATAATTCCTCAGGCCACGGACCAGCCAGCAGCCGCCCGTTTGGCAAAGTGGGCGGCGCCCAAGCGCTGTAACTGCCACGGGCTGTGTTACAGTCACCCCGCTATGATAGGCCACGTGAGCAGACCTTGGGCAGGGGGCAAATGTGATCAAGGGGCATCAAGAGAGGGGGTGGACCATGGAGCACCCTCTCCATGGCTCCGGCCACCCTCCCCCCAGCTCTAACTGCCATACGCACAGGAGCGGCGTAGATCTGTTGGTCGTGGAGCAGCAGCTGCAAGCGCTGGCAGCAAACGCCGGCGATTGCAAGGGGGTGGGTGTCACCAGGCACTGACGACCAGCTCACATTGGCAGCCGCCGGCGCGGCTGTTGTGCCCGCCCACCGGGCGCCTGCTGCCACCGGCAGCTGCAGCACCGCCGCCTGCAATGACACTGCTGGGACACTCCCCCCCGCCCACACGCATTCATACACACACATGCCACATGCTGCCACTGGCCCGCACATACTGCTCACACTGCACACACTGCATACACTGCACACACTGCAGGGGTATCCCTCACTTGACACCCGCCGGCGCGCCACCTCGCCGGGGGGGGGGCGAGCCCCCCGGCCGCCCAGGGTCATGGGCGGCAGTTCAGCCAGGCGCCCCTCCACACCCCCTGGACTGCCCCTTCTCACCACAGGTTCAATTGGTGTCCAGGTTCTGCCAAAACCCAAGCCAAAACGTTTGGTGGATCTGGAGAGAGCGGACCCTGGTGCCCTAATGAGGCCTCCGCCAAAACCCAGCATCTGAGAGCTCCAGTGAACATTTCGACGCGTGATCGCAAGTTGTTGGTGAGTCGGGAGGGTGCAGCTTGCTTGTTGACGCTTGTTGACGCGGGCTGTTGCTTGTGCTTGTGTGGGCTTAAAGTCTGGTAAAGCAAGAACTAGCTTGCAACATAGACTCCCCGCCGAAACGGGACGGGAACCGGGCGAAAGCAGAGAAAGCAATAAAACAGGGGTGGAGCAAGGCGACATGCAACGCAAGCAGCTGACAGGGCACGCATCGAAACGTGTGTATGACTGGCAAAGTGGCATGGCGCATTGGGGAGAAACGCAACGGTACGGGAGCATGGGCTGGCCAAACGGCAGTGCGGAACGCTAGGTCACTAGAAAAGCAGGGAAAGGCGCACTATGTATGCAATGAGGGCAGCCCCGGCTCGGGGCCGTTGAGAAAGCAGTGGGCGGGAGGGGGGAGGCCCCGGTGTGGGCGGGCCCCATCGAGGGGGGATGGGGCGCGCAAGCGGCCAGATGGGGCGGGGCGCGGGCGGCAGTGGAGTCCTGCGGCTGGGTGGGATAT